GGCAGGGTCGAGGATATCAGTCTTCCTGTCGATCAAGTCGACATCATCATCAGTGAATGGATGGGCTACTGCCTGCTTTACGAAGCCATGATGAATAGCGTTCTGGTCGCCAGAGACCGTTTCCTCAAGCCCGACGGCCTCATCGCCCCGAGCATCTCCACCATCTGGGTGGCACCGGTCTCGGATCCTGAATACATCACCGACTTCGTTACCTTCTGGGACGACGTCTACGGCTTTGACATGAAGTCCATGAAGGAGGGCATCTACGACGAGGCTCGTATCGAGCTCATGCCAGAGGACTGCATCTGCGGCACCCCCTCGCAGATCTCATACATTGACCTGCATACCGTCAAGATCGAGGACCTTGACTTTGAGACTCAGTGGAAATCGAACTTGACCAAAGATATTCCGTCACTTGACGGCTTTTTGACCTGGTTCGACATCTTCTTTACGACTTCTCGAAGCGACTCGATCCCGGCGGATCTGCAGGTTAAGGCCGGCGAGACCAGTGTCATCAGACCTGGCGAAGTTGCCTTCACTACCGGCCCTGCAGGTCCTGACACCCACTGGAAGCAGGGTTTCCTGATGAGCAAGTATCTCGAGGAGAACGCCAGTGTCACCGCCGGCACAGAGATCTCTGGCAATATTGTCTTCAAGGCACCCGAAAATAACCCCCGGGCGCTGACCATCAGCAATACTTGGACCGTACCAGGCCAGGACAACAGCAGGACGCAACTATGGAAACTCAGATGAATTAGCAAGAGCCTCCGAACCCGCAATTTCGAGCCATGTCATCGACACGCAGATCACCGTCGATTGAACCCAGGGACTGCTGGTAGTGGTCGGCTAGAGGCGTTCATCCTCCAGATGGACTTCTAATGCGGCCTACACAATGTCCGCCTTTTTCCAGGACGCGATGGATATTGACCAGATGATTGTCCACATGCCAGTACGCCGATTACAAGTCTCGCCGACGCGGCCTCTTCTTCGGCAAGACATCATGACACTGTACAAGAGGAAGGCCAGGATGCGCACAAGCCGGCAGAGGCAAATGGGCTAGGACTTAGTCAGATCCCAACTTAAGGAAATACAGCTCCAGAGACAGATAGAACCCTGAAGTATTGACGCCCTCTGACCAACGCGTGTGCAAGCAGCTGATCGTCATTTGGATTGGCAAGCATTATGCTAAAGACTCATGCGCCTGACGTGCTTTTCAGATCCTTGCTTTTCGTGTCTTTTTCGTCGTCGTCGTTGTCCTCGTCGTTTTCTTCTTCTTCTTCTTCCTCATCCTCATCCTCCTCCTCGCTACCCTCTTCTTCGTCTTCTTCGTCTCCATCGTCGTCTTCGCCATCAGATACTGCTTCTCCAAGTTCCTTGAGTTTTGCCTTGATATGCACCAGATTAGTCCGGGACACTTGCTCAAGTCTTTGTTTTCGACTCACCTTATACTTGGCCGCCTTCTCTTCTAGGTCGCCAAATACCATGAGCAGATCATCAAGCTCGTTTTGAGTTGCTTTTCTATCCTCCTCGGCCTTCTTAATAGTCACGTCGCACTGAGATCAACGTCAGAATACACGCATTTCTCTCAATGTCAAGGTTTCAGCAGTGAACTCTCGCACCTGGGTAACCCTCTCTCGCGTCTCACGTAAGTTCTTCTCGAGCTGCTCCACACGGGCGTTGGCTTTGGTAGCAAGGCTCTGCTGGTCGAGCTCCTTCTTTTCAAGCTGTTCCCGAATGGCCTGAATCTCCTGCGCCTTCGTCTTCTTGGCCTGTGAAAGAGTCAGCCTCACATCCAAGCAATAACGTGATTACTTAGTCACCTTCATAAGATCAACCTCAAGACGGCTGATGGTAGCCTTGAGATCTGCCATGTCCGCCTCAGCCCGGTGGCGAACGCGATCGGCGTCCGATTCGGCTGTCTTGCGCACCTGCTCTAGCTGCTTGCGATGCTCCTCAGACTGCGAAAATGCCTGGGCTTTGGCGGTCTGCCGCGCTTGCTCAGCCTGCTGTTCAAGCTCCTCCTCGAGCGCCTTGATGCGGGAAGCTGTGTTTCTCTGCACTTCCTCAAGTTGCTTCTTGTTCTGTTTCTCGAGAGCTGTGACGTGAGTGGCTGCCCTCCGCTGATCCTCCTCTAATCGCTTGCTGTATTGTTGTTCCAGAGCCGCATTTTGAGAGTCAATCTTGCGGTGTGTCTGCTCAATCTGCTTTTTATGTTCTTCCTGAAGACTTGCAATTTTATTTTGCAGATTCCTAGACAATTGGCTGGTTAGTGACATCACTTAACACTAGTCATCCAGACTTACCGCAGCTCTGCATCGTGTTGTCTCTGCATTCCCTCGTTGACTTGGTTGATTCTGGCCAATTCCATAGCAGTCGTCTCCCGGGTTCGCCGATGGTCGGCTTGTTCCTGACCGAATTGTCGACTAACCGTCTCTAAGCTGACTTGAGCCTCCTGTAAGGCCTGCTGCTTTTCAGCTAATTGACTCCGCAGGGAGTCTACGAGTTCTCTGGACACCCCCGTCTGGACACCATTCTTGACCACGGAAATTTCTAGGCCGGGGTCTCGGTCGATACCACGCAGAATTCGACTGTAGTTGTCCTTGAAGAAGTCGATGAACGTCGAGTCAAAGTAAACGTCTGGCAAACTACCTAATCCGGAGTTGCTAAGATTCTGAGGGATCACCTCAAAATCCCTTACCAGTGGGTCGCTTCTCAATTTAGATAGCTTGTCGATGTATTTTTCGCGCCCCATTCGAGAAACGAGGATGGAATGAAGGTCAGCTCGGGGAATCGGTGAGTCCTTCGTCGAGAACTCATATAGAACGCCCAGAAGCATCGCGCAAAGACCCTGGACAAGGTCACCAGTTGCGTATGGATGATTCACTGCCTGTATCAGGCTTTGAGTGTTGGCCCCTTCTCCAAGAAAGTCGTTCACTGCATCCAAGTCTTCATACAGCCAGCAAAGGAGCAGCATGAGGTAGCCAACAACAACCCGGCTGTCCTCGTCCCGGTTCAAGCCGGATATCAAATGAGCAGCAATGGTTTGAATGCTCGTGACGACTTCCTCCCCACTTTCAGCATCGCCTTCTGAGACAGCCATGACCAAGTTCTTGGCCTTTGCATTATCAAAAACCAAGTGCATCATGATGGTGGAGGCAAACCAACTTCGATAAGGATTAGCGACGGCTGCATCTGAAGAAGGCCGCAAAAGCACCGTCAGCACATTAGCCGTCTCGTCGGCTCCCATATCATGTCCTTCGATCGCTCTCCTCAGAAAATGTAAGCGAATGTCTGCGTGATTGTAGAAGTAAGCCTTGAGACAGTCACACGCGGCTAAACGTAAATCGAACGCCTCCAGATCCTGGACGCTGAGGGTAAGGTCTAGGAGGCCATCAATCACATAGACTTTGACGACACCATTGGCTTGCCCAGATCCAGCTGAAGGCGGCTCGAGAGGAGACGGGACTTGAAGTTGCGCGAATCCTTCCTGGAGGCTCGGGTTGCCCCTGATGATGTCGGCACATGTTACTAGAGCCTGCAGGCACCTTCTTAACATGATAGCACAAAGATCAATGATGGGAGACAACCAACCTCGGCCTTGATTGGAAGCTGGGCTACATGGCTGAAGGCCAGTTGTAGGGCGTGGAATAGCAAGCCATGTTGCCAAAAGGCAAGCTGGTTCTGCGACGTCCCCACGGCCCCTGCTACTAGAAACAGTCGAACGACAGCCAGAAGCGCGTATATGTTCCGGTCACGCTGGGCCTGCGCCCACGCTGCAATCTCTGTGTCCACCCGTTGAGCCTTCTCTGCACCCTCTAGTAAAACAGACAAACGATGAATACCGCCCGATTCGCGGAACAGAGACTGGTTGGATGGATTCCTCCTGAGAAGGTTTGCGACCAGAATCAGGCAGTCCTCCACGACACGATCCCCGTCGGGAAGGGAACCTTCTGCAGAGATGATACCAAAGAGTCGATCAAAGGCGTTCTCAAACGCCACGAGCTTCTGAATATCGGTCGACGAGGGTGTGAGAAAGGTGAGGAGTGTGATGGCTTCGTTTCTAACGGCCTCGCGGCTGTCGTCTAGCACCGCGACAAGGCGAGAGATTCCCAGCGGGGCAGTGAAGATGCACTCTTCTGTGCGCTCGGTTCGGGCAGAGAGGATGGCAGCTAGCAGCTGAAGAGAGTACAGCCTCGAGTAGAAGTCAGTGGAGTCGAGAAAGTCTAGGAGGAGCGTTATGTTCTCCTGGCGCTGTGTGAACTCGTCAGCGAGCCAGAGGGCAATCTCCTCCGAGGCTTCAGGGCTGTCTTCGTTAGGACTGAATAGCATGAGCAGGGTCTCGAGGACGACCTTGACAGTGTCGACATCTTCGGCATCTTTGCTCAAGCTACCTATCAGACTGCGAAGAGCTCCAGAGGCGACAGAGGCAGGGAAGTCCTTTGCAAAGCTGCGTAAACCGAGTATAGCAGCACGGCGGTCTTCGAGGAGCGTGGCTGAGCTCAGCCGACCACTCAAAACGGTGATGGTCTCACCGACCGACTGCTTCGCCGGTGCAGTGGAAATGGAAAACATGCTGTTTTGTTAAGTGTCAGCCATCGGGAGCTGAAACAGACGACGAGGAAGACAGAGAGAAGTGTAGCGCTAAACACGAGAAGCTGTGGGAGGACCGGTCATGTAGAGACAGAACGAAGCATTGGGACGACTAGGTTGGGCTGCTGTTGTGGAGAGCTTTATTTCGTCGCACGACGAGAGGCCTGGGACTTCCTACATCTAGACGCACGCAGGAGCGTTTACGAAAGGTGTACTTTGACAGCTTCTCGCACCGGTACAGAGATAGATCGCTATGTATGTAATAATGAGACGCAACACTCACGTCACTGGAATATGTGAAGATTGCCTACCGGATTACCGGGGTCATCGAAGAAGCAGCATGTCACATTACGTAAACATCGCTTTTTCGACGGTAACTTTCGCACAAAGGCACCCTGTCTGATTTCGTCAGAGTACCTTGTGTCTTCCCGTCTCAAAGGTAAATTAGTACAGGACAAACCTGAGGTAGGCGCACTTTTGTCTCTTGCGCAGAGAAGTCTCATATTTTCCACTTTCACTGTTGCATCACCTGTGTCTTCGATTCCGCGACTACGAACCATTGCTGACGAACTGACCGCAACTGCCCTAGTCAAACGATTTTTTTTGTTTCTCTCGATTTGCGGTCAAGCAATACCTCGCAAGCGACAAGGCTCAAGCATCCATGCGTTACTATTCTCGCAACACAGTCTTCCTTTGCGACGCAGGAGCTACTTGCTCGCTCCACCCTTTGCGCGACGAACAGCCTTTCGAAATCACCACATAAGCCGTAGTTTTGCCTTGTTGCAGATAATTCTTACATCACAACATCATTCAAGATGGGTATCCCGGCGGCTTTCCGATGGCTGTCAAACAAGTACCCCAAGATCATCTCCCCAGTCATCGAGGAGCAACCCGTCAAGATGGATGATGGGTCTGAAATCCCCGTCGACACAACCGGACCGAACCCGAATGGCGAGGAGCTCGACAACTTGTATCTCGACATGAATGGTATCGTCCATCCATGTTCCCACCCCGAGGATCGCCCAGCTCCCAAGGACGAGGAGGAGATGATGCTTGAAGTCTTCCGGTACACGGATCGTGTCGTCAATATGGTCCGGCCGCGAAAGCTGCTGATGATTGCTGTTGGTTAGTTTTCCTCCCCATCATTGACTTCATCTGTTGGTACCGTTACTGAGTAAAACAATTCTTTATTAGATGGCGTCGCGCCACGTGCAAAGATGAACCAACAACGATCTCGTCGCTTCCGATCTGCGCAGGAGGCCCAAGAAAAAGAAGAGGATAAGCAAGAGCTCTTGAAGTTGTTGAAGCAGCAGAATGGTGGCGCAGTACCCGATGACACGCTCGAGGGAGCCGCCAAGAAGGCTTTCGACTCCAATTCCATTACTCCCGGCACTCCCTTCATGGACATCTTGGCCTCGAGCTTGAGATACTGGTGCGCGTACAAGCTCAACACGGACCCAGCCTGGGCAAAGGTCAAGATCATCATCTCCGATGCAACAGTCCCCGGCGAGGGAGAACACAAGATCATGTCATTCGTGCGATCTCAACGCATCTCTCCCGATTACGACCCGAATACCCGACACGTCATTTACGGCCTCGATGCCGACTTGATTATGCTTGGTCTCGCAACTCACGAGCCTCACTTCCGAGTTCTGCGTGAGGATGTCTTCTTTCAAGATAGCAAGACCAAGATGTGCAAGCTTTGTGGACAAAAGGGCCACGAGGCTCGCGCTTGTCGTGGACAGGCCAAGGAGAAGGTCGGCGAATTTGACGAACAGGAGAAGAGCCCCACTTTGAAGCCCTTCATCTGGCTCCACGTTCCCATTCTGCGGGAGTACTTGGCCGTAGAGCTTAATGTCCCAGGTCTGCCCTTCCGCTTCGACCTGGAGAGAGCACTGGATGACTGGGTCTTCATGTGCTGTTTTGTTGGCAACGACTTTTTGCCTCACTTACCGGCACTGGAGATCCGTGAGAACGGAATCGACACGTTGACAGCCATTTGGAAAGACAACTTGCCATTCATGGGCGGCTATGTCACAAAGGACGGTCACGTCGACTTGGGTCGAGCGCAGTACATTCTCAATGGCCTAGCAAAGCAAGAGGACGCGATCTTCAAGAGGAGAAAGGAAACCGAAGATCGTAGAGAGGCCGGCTTCAAGCGGAGGAAGCTTCAAGAGGAGCAGCGTAACCCAAGGTTTGCCAAACCAAAGCAAGTCGACGATGCGTCTGCTGGCTTGAGCTTGTTTGCTGTGGCAGGAGGACCAAATGGCATCACCCACGACAAGGTGGTCGGTCGATCTTCGAACATGAATGCTAACACTGCCAACAAGAGTGCCGCAAGCGCTATACGGGACCAACTCAAAGGTTTGATGCCCAAGAATGAGCCCAGCCAGGAAGATGACTCGGCGAAGGCCACGAAGGAAGAGGTCCCTAAGTCAGCCGATGAGACCTCCGTACTGGGGAAACGCAAAGCCGAAGATGACTCGACAGCCAAGGCCGATTCCGCCGCGACAACCGCAAAGGGGCCCAGCACGTCCGCTGCCGAGGAGGCTGCGGTGGATCATGTCAGAATGTGGGAAGAGGGTTACGCCGATCGATACTACGAACAGAAGTTCCACGTTGATCGGAGCGATCTCGAGTTCCGGCACAAGGTTGCGCAGGCTTACGTGGAGGGCCTGTCGTGGGTTCTACTGTATTACTTCCAGGGCTGTCCCTCATGGGAATGGTACTACCCATACCATTATGCGCCCTTCGCTGCCGACTTTGTTGAGCTTGACAAGATGGATGTTCATTTCGAAAAGGGTCGGATCTCAAAGCCATTTGAGCAGTTGATGAGTGTGCTGCCTGCCGCTTCTCGCCACGCATTGCCCGAAGTCTTCCATGACCTTATGCTCAATGAAGATAGCAATGTCATCGACTTTTACCCGTCAGATTTCGAAATTGATCTGAACGGAAAGAAGATGGCATGGCAGGGAGTCGCACTGTTGCCGTTTATCGAAATGCCAAGGCTGCTCGCCGCCATCGAGACAAAGTACCCTCTCTTGAGTGAGGCAGACAAGGCGCGAAATGGCGTCGGAAGAGATGTGCTGCTCTTATCAGATGCTCACCACGAACTATATGATGAGATCACCACTGGTTTCTACTCTAAGAAAAAGGGAGCGCCGACGCTCAAGCTCAGTCCGCGGACCAGTGACGGTTTGGCTGGCAACATTGAGAAGATTCCTGACTATCTGCCTCACGGAGAGTTGGTATATCCCCTGGAGCGCGGTGGAATGCCGAATCTCGACTACGATAGGTCTCTAAGGTAAGTTGATATCGTAAAGGGTGAAGGTTGTCAGTTGCCGGGACTAACAGTGAAGCAGAGTCTGGTACACGTTCCCAGAAAGTTCGCACCCTCACAAGTCAATGCTGCTGCGCGGCGCCAAGCCTCCGGCTCCAGCTCTAGATCGCAACGATATTGAGACTCTGAAGGGGAAGTCAGCCCGAGGCGGGCGTGGCTATGGCGGAGTACCCTTTCAACGCGGCGGTGGACACCACAACGGCGGTCGGAGGGGGGGCCAGTTCAGTTACGCTCCTGATGGCGGACAGGGCCGCCAAGACCGGGGACCGCCCTCGTACGGAGGTAATGGTGGTGGTTATGGGCGGCAAGGATTCCAGTCGTCGGGGCTACCACCCACCCAGTCATCATGGCAACCTCCTCCCCCGGGGCACCCTGGGTTCGGAATGGGCCTACCACCGCCGCCCCCTCCAGCAGGATATGGAAACGACGGGCGAGCATCTAACGGTTCCTACCGTGGAGGAGGCTACAACCAGCACCAAAAACTACGGACCACCACCACCACCAGGGCCACATTCGCAGTACAGCTATCCCGACGGAGGTCGGCAAGGGGGCCGTGGGGGCTACCAGGGCCGCGGCGGCTATGGCGGTGGACGCGGCGGCGGTGGAGGTGGAGGTGGCAGATATGGCGGCGGACGCAACAATTACTGATGTTTCGAGGGGAGTTGCTGCGGGAGATCAACGTGTCTACCGTGTATCCGCACAGGGGACTTTCACGACGAAAGCAGGAGGCTTGGAAACACGGGAATGGATGGATCGGTATCACCCGCATAGCGTACGAATAGTGTAGATGGGCGGGCATTGTAGACGAGTCGCCAGAGATATGGCGTGTTGCTCCGTGGAGCTAACTGCTGCTAGGTAGCGGAGATAGCGCCATAGGCTTGTGTCAATACCATTGTGGCAGCGATTCGTGGTTAACATACCTAGATAGTAAAGCCAGCTCCTGGAAGTGTTCAACGATGACGCATAGTGACCTGAAAAACATCCACCTTGGGTTATATTTGGCCATCCGTATTAGCAATAAGCTGTGAGCCCGAATTGACGGATGGCAGTTGTATCGGCCAAAGTTATAACGCGGGTGCTGACTGGCTGATATCATAAGAGCTCCAGCTTAGGTTGTCGGGGCTCAAAATTGAAACGCTGAGGCCCAAGTTTCCATAATCCATACGGTAAGGTAAGGTAAGGTGAGGCGCAGGTAAGCACGCAAGTGAGCATCCCCCCGCCGGTACTCACATTTTTTTAGGTTGACCTCCTGGCTAAGGTACCAGGCACTTTACCGCACCTCAGTCAGGGACAGGTCGAAGGTGACTGGCTGAGGTGGTGCTTGGCTTCAGATCAGCTGCCCCACGCCATCTTCCGGGCTCGGATTACCTTAACTACCTAAAGCCTCGAGGACCCAGAAGCAATTGGACCACCTCCCGTAGTGTCCGGAAATACATGTCACCTCTAGGTGCCTCAGGTCAAGTTGAAGATACAGAAGACACGGATTGATGTCTTTGATTTGCGGTTCTCCCATTAGGCCTTCCGACGGGAATGAGGCAAGGTAGCTCGGTAGGTACGTATAAGTTTACGTACCTACCGGCCTACCTTAAGGAGCACCGTAAGGTAAGGTACCTTAAATACCGAAGCTACGAGCTCCGACCTTACCTTAGCTTTTGGAGAATCTTGGCATCCCATCCCGTTCCGCGCACACCATCTCCACTCGCCTCACCCCGAAGGGGGAAGTACAGCTGGGACGTGACATTTGCTGCGTTGCATGGCGTTGCATGGCGTTTCATGCAGACCGGGCCACGACTATAGAGCTTATACTGGTAGGTATTCCTTTGGACAGACTGTAGGTAGGTGGTGATGTAAGATACGTGAGGTAGGTACGTAGGAACTTCTAAGTGGCATTAGCTGGACTCTTGCCCTTTTATGAGACAGAACCGTCTTACTTTGTCGTCCTCCCCAGGTCCACTTGCCCATCCATGTTGCGACTGCCCATTGGTCTCTTTGAAAGCTCCGTGGAAGTCGAGGTACCTTAATTAAGGTCAGGTCGCTATCAGGTAAGTAAGGTACGGTTCAAGACGTATTGCTGAGGTACCTATTTGTAAGTAAGGTAAGGTACTTCGCCTCAAAAGGCGACTAAACCCATCTCAGGTAGCAGCTCTGCTCGGGCCCGACGACGCTATCAGTGCTACCCCTCCACCTTCTCCCGGACTCCTGACATGGACGACTGTCAAACGCATGCAGGTGCATCTTTCGTCTTTTTTTCAATACATTTCTTTGCCTACCTCAAGGACGAAGAAGAGGGCGTCCCATTCGTCACCACCGCAAACCAAGCGGATGCCGATTCAACGCAACTAGTCGCTCCCTATCGCCTAACTCGATTACTTTAATCCTTCTTTACCTCACCTTAGGTGGTACACCCCAGATCAGCGCATCGTTCGCTCTCCTGCCGGCTACCTCTCTTCGACGACGACTGCGACGACGAGCCAATTGGCCCTCTCGACCCAGCGATACCTCGGCTTTGCGCTCGTAGTCCGTCGCCATTGAGCTCCGCTGTACAGAACGTCTACGACCCTGGGAACCACACAAGCCCATCGCAATACTCTGCCAAGTCATCACACTGCTTGAGCTGGAGGGAGGCGCAGAACACTGAGGACGCGCGCGTACGGTCATGAGCTTTATCGTTTTGGAGCGCAGACATGAACGGCGATGCTGGTCTCGTCGGCTGCCTGGTCGATAGGCTTGCCACTAGAGTAAGTCGCTCCTTCCCTTTCTTTCGGACCTTGATCGTCAGATGCGACGCGCCCCCTCCTTCTCTTCCTTCTCTCGACTTGCTTGCGTATCCTGGCTCTTGGAGACTTGACTGACAACATCTGCGCCCCTCTTAGCTCCCTCACAGGACAGGAACCCATGGGCAGGAGCTTCAGCAGGACGACGTTGTCCTCATCACGAGGTCGACACTGGTCAAAATCAGTACCTCTGCCGTCGCCTTTGTTCTCGATTCCCTCGTCGCACTCCTCGAAGACATAATACGAAACTACAAGGGTCTCCCCCCGCCCGCCCATCCTCCTCATGTTCTCCTTTCCGAAGTCTACGTTCTTGCCCTTGCTGCAGACTGCTGCGCCGCCCACTGGGATCAAGTCAAGGCGCAAGGCTTACGCCAGCCTTCTGCCGATGCCGACACTCGTCGTGTTACCCCAGCAAACCTCGCAAATGTTCCCGAGCCGTTGGACGAAGCCCTTGTCAACCGCGTGTTTGACTTGGTCAAGTGGCTTGTTGAGCCCATCCCTGAGGGCTATGTTCTGCCCTCGTCCACTATCCTTGACGATACCTCGAGACACGCCGACTCCATTGCCCGCTCCTCGGGTGGGCTTGCCTCGCCGCTTCCCGGTGATACTGACGCTGCCGAGGAAGACGAAACACTGCCCACTACCCAATTAGCAGTTTTGGAACCTTGCATTAGAATCATCGTGGAATACGTCACGGCCTCTACATGGTCTTGCTCGTTTGACTACTTCAGGAACGTCGTATACACCGTTCGCACTGCAGCTGTAGTGCAAGCTGCTCCTGGTCAGTCGGCCGCTACCCCCGACGACGATAAGGCTTCCCTGGCGGTCCTTAAGATCCTGTCCTTCTTCTGGGTCGACGCCCAAAAACTGGGCCTCATAATCCAGGAGATATGCTCTAGCTTCCTGCATTTTCGCAAATCCTTCCAAAATACCGTTGCCGTCGTCGCCCCCTTGCTAGTCACCAGGTGGCTTGATCGATATCCACATGAATTCGTACAGCAGCACACTTTACACAGGCGTCTCGACGGTGGCGCCGATACTCTGTTTGACATGACGCAGACGGTCGTTGACAATGGTCGCAAGAAAGGAGTTTTGTACCCTTTACAGACCACATTGTTATTCCTACTACCCGATGTTTTCGAGGTCGCTAGTAATCTCCGCGAGGCCAAGAGTAGCAGTATGGCCAAGAAGGTTGGCTTTCTAGACAACTTAAGAAAGGCCCTGAGGAACAAGAACGAGCAGGCTGCTTACTCATTGGTTTCCCTTCTAAGGGCATCTCGCCACTTCGTTGTCGAAGACGACGCCGCATTGGTGAGCTACGCTATGGATGTACAAGACGAGGTCCGCGAGGCTGTCTTTCGGCGCGGCAACGAGACCTCCTTATTCGATCAAGACTTGATGACAGCTGCGTTTGTCAGCCTTGCTGAACTGAGTCTAGAAAGCTGTGTTGACTCTCTAAGAGAGTCATATCTCGGCCTCTCTTCTCCACAGGCTTTTAAGACCGCCGTCGTCCAAGGCTGCCGTTACTTTGCTCGTCAAAACGACTCGCATGTTTATGAGCAGCTTTTTGCTGTCGCGGGACCGTTCATGCGGACCCAGCTCAAGGTACGTCCGATGAGAATGAACCCCTTCTGCGTTCACACCCCATCGCATTCCCTTTGTCGGCCAGTTTGGTGACCTAGGCAGCAGGCTGTCGCGGACTTGCCAGCAGAAGCTACCGCCGTAGCTCTGGCCCTACCGCGCCGCGACTCGAACCTACACTCGTTCACAAATATGGCATGCGATGTTCTCAGGTTTTTAGACGCCTCGCCCCGCTCTCTCTTCGACGGTGACGGTCAAGGCGATACAGTCACCGGCGCCGCCGATGAGGATGTGTTTTTGTCCTTTCTCTCATGTGTCGTGTCCGCCAACCCGACCATTAGGAGACTCGCCACAGGTGTTGCGAAACGCCTCTTTTCCGACAGCACCATCATCGACACACTGCGTGCTCGCGGGAGACTGAGTTCTGCAGCACTGAGGAGGGAATTTTGGAGACGCAGGTATGACGAATGGTGGCCTCCCGGTCCTTTTCAGACGTGAAGATGAGCTAATATCAGCTCGGGCAGCTCCCTGGTGTTACTCAATATGTGCAACGATGTCACATCTGATGGCAATGGCTCAGAGGTGAAGGCTATTCATGAGTACCTTGAAGCCCGGAAGTTCTTGCTAGCGTCGCTACGGGTAAGTCGAGTTTGCATTCCTAGCCAAGCTATCATCCCTCATCAAACTAACAATTCTTGACTCGTTCAAGGAGCTCTCCGATATGCCCGAAGGCGTACCCGAAATAGAGGCAGCATCCTCCAGACTCGAAACAACACTCCTAGTCTCCTTATGCTCTGCAGATGTCGAAACCTGTCAGACGGTGACCTCGTGCATAGGCCTCTTTTTCGAGGAGAACAATCTTGTGGACATTACCTCTGATACAGCCAAGGGATTCGCCTCACTGCTACGTAACGGCGAAGTGTACGGCGAGATCGCCTCCCGAGCATTTCGATTCACGGGGCTCGTGGCTTTTCAAAAAAGAGTTCGCGGCTTGCTCCGCCGCTTGCAGTATCCTACGAGCGGCATCCTCTCGGCGTGGGAGTATGGTTTCGAACGATGGCTTCTTCTTTCAAGAGAAGTTTCAATGGCACCTGTCGATGCTGTCGATGAAAGAACGCTGACCGAGTGGCGAAACTACTCGGGTTTCCTCGCATCTCTTGGTGGAATATGCACGGCGAACCAGACAATCATCCTTGAAGAACCAGCACTAAGCGGCCTGAGGTGGATTGACAAGCTCTCTTCCGAGAATCATGAAGAACCCTTATTGAGCAGGTACCTGAAGCTGAGCATCCAACTTCTCGGATGTGCAAGCGTCAGGATCAGAGAAGCAACCCGGGAGGTTCTATCAAGTGAGGTGTCATCCACACTTTACCAGTCTCTCTTCAAATCTCTCGAGTCTGAGCTTGAGGTCCTATTCACTGGTGCACTGGCGCCGAGTGATAAGGCACAGGATGTCGAAATCATTTTTGCGGAGCAGGCTATCTCTCTTCTGAAAGCGCTTGTGGAGCGGCTTGAGAGCCCTTCAGACCTCGGTGCCGCCTCAGCCATACACCTTGGTGCCCTCGCACTCAATTTCGCGAAGTTCCTCGACGGCGTTGCTGACAGCACCAATACCCTCCGAGTCAAGATCAAGGTCTGTCAGCTTTGCGAGGCCGTGACAAAGAGAAAAGAACACCTGAATCTCAGAGATGACGTGCGAATTCGAAATCAGCTCCTGGAGTACATCTTTGGCTGGATTGCTCGGCCTCGGTCTCCGCGTCTAGACCCAAGTACCAGCTCAAGTGGCCGTCTAGATGAAGTCGTAAGAGTGCAGAAGGACCTAGACAAAGCTTGTTTGAAGTCACTAGCCGAACTCACTTTCCGTCTACCCTTGCAGCCTGGCGAGGGTCAGACCGACGCTGGAACGAGCGAGCTCAAGTCACAGATGTTCCATACCTATTTCAACAGATTCCTTTCGCTGCTCAACCACGAGTCTCTTGAAGGCGGTAGAAACGATTTGCTGGCGGGAATCACCAGCCGCGATGAGGGCGGATCTTCGTCAGAATTTGCCATCACCATTCTCTCAAATCTGCTCAGTGCTAATATCGACGTCGGCCTGAAGCACTCTCTTAACATTGGGTACCATGACAACGTCGAAATCAGGACAGCCTTCGTCAAAGTACTCTACAACATCCTCATTCAGGGGACGGAATTTAGCAATCTGACAGACGCTGCCGTCAGTGAGAAGTATGACGAATTACTCGAGGTAAGCGAAGCTGTGTGGCCCCTCGTTGGCTGGGCGTTCCAGGCTCTGACACAGTCCGCAGCTCCTCACAAAAGACATGACCTTGGTAGCAGCGATGAGCGCTGTGTGCCCAAGCAGCGAGGTTGACGAGCTGACTGTCTCTCTGCTGACAATCTTCGAACATCGTGGTCTCAGCTTCGAGCTACTAGAAGTTCTCATCAAGCAAGAGATCGAAGAAACAGGTGGGACCGGCATCTTTTACTCGCTCGTGGGGAATCTTCTTCCAATTAACCATCTATGCAGACAACGAATCAGAGATTTTACGGCGGACGTGCGTCGCAACCAAAATGCTTTCCGTCTATGCCAAGTGGAAAGGACAACCGTACCTCAAGGCTACACTGCAAAAGGTCGTCGAGAGGTTGATGTTGACTTCGAAGGACCTAGATCTCGAGTTGGACCCAGCTCGCGTGAGTTCTACAGATGAGCTCCAGAAGAATGCCCTTCAATTGCGTATCGTAGCAAAGGTGTTCATCGATGACATCTGTGCGTCGTCCTCGACCATGCCAGCCTCATTCCGCAGGATCTGCAATATTGTACGTCTACCGATCCCCAACTCCCTTGTGCTGTCTATTAATGAGACTCACAGATCTCTTCTGCCGTGCTCCCACGGTTTCAGGAGGCTAAGTACACGGCTGTTGGGGCGTTCGTTTTCCTTCGATTCTTCTGCCCAGCCATTGTTGCGCCTGAAGTCGAAGGCCTAGTTACCACGACGCCGTCAAAGGAGATGCGACGAGGGCTTCTTCTCATCGCGAAGGTCATTCAGAACTTGGCAAACAATGTTCTCTTTGGGGCCAAGGAACCCTATATGTTCCCACTGAATGACTTCCTTACCCAGAACATCTATAAGGTCACAACCTTCTTGCGCGAGATTTCTGTGAGTATTCCCGTCGCCCAGCACGATGCAATTCGATCTACCTTCAAAAGCTCATTGTGACTCTGCGCTAGGTGCCTCCAGAGAACCTCGAAACTCCGCCTACCATCGAATCCTTCGACTTCGGCTCTTGCGTTGCGCTACATCGCTTTTTATATGACCACTGGGATCATATGCGCCAGAGACTTGTCACCCAGGAACGGAAGGACTTTGTGCGCTCGCCCGCTGAGGTGTCTCGGGGTCGGTCGCCCGTTCTCGAGCCTTTGCGCAATCTCATCACGAACTTAGGCCCTCCGCCCTTGGCTGTGACCTGGAACAGACCACAGATATCGACAAATACTCCGCCTTCATACTCGAGGTTTCAAAATTTCATGCTCCGGAACGCTTTCCGTAGTACTGAATCTTTCATCACTGCCAGAGCCGTCTATGACGGAGGCGAAAGCAAGGTACTGTATCACCCTTGCAAAGCTCCTTCCAATCAATGCTAAGTGCATCTTGTAGGACTCTCTTTCCATTATTTGCATCATCCTACGGCACATTGATGCAGAGAGCATAGACTACGATACACTTTTGTACTGTTACCTAAAGGTAAGTGCCAACTCCGCCCCTTCGGCTCGATGTAGTCACCAATCCCTTTGACCATGAAAGAGTGCTTCTTGTTCTTCGTCGTCCGTTCTGACCAACTCTGTCCTCATCTAGATTGCAAGCCGTCTGTGGCATAAGCCCTTTGGTCTGCTCATCGACGCCACATGCTACAATGGGCAGAATGAACCCCAAGATGAGCTCTTTAAGAAGCTTGAACAGCTCACGCCTGTGGAATTATCTCGGAATCTTGTTAGAGTCTACGTCTACAACATGAATAGCGCGTTCAGGTAAGCATCAACAAGGCAGGGGATGCACTCTGTGTTCCTTCCTTCTTGGTCAGACTGGCATAGCTAACGTACAGCAGGAAATGCTTCCGAAGACTTCTACGGGTGTCTGCCAAGAGCGATAACAGCGTCTTCAATCCAAAGAATGTCGACTACCACTTGATTGGCAGCCTTCAAGATTTGCAAGCCCACTTTCATTTGAGCCAACTTCACCTACCTAAGGAGACAATCAGCGTTGTCACAGATACCCGATACGTGTTTCAGCCCATCACCCGACTCTCCAAGACAAAGGGTAAAATTGAGGTTGTCATCAAGGTTGGCAGTCAATTTGTACAGGTCACAACCACCAAGAAGCAGGAGGTCTTCCCTGGCTATCGGCTGAGCACGACGGTGAACGACATCTTCAGGTTAGGCGAAGTGGAAGAAGCTCCTACGTCAATACAGACCGAGGATGACTCAGCCTTTGGTCTACGTGCGGATAATGGCAAGATTGTCATGTACTTCACCAGTCCCAAGAAGACCGACGTGCTCCAGACAATCCGTGGCGCAAAGGCCAAGTACGGCAAGGACACAAGGGCGCACAAGGCCTACGAACGATTAATCCGTCCACAGGATGTTCCGGGTACTTTGCTGAATCTAGCCTTGACAAACCTGTCAAGCTCCGACCACGTCCTCAGACTTTCATCGTACAATCTTCTCGGCGCCCTTTGTAAGGCCTTTAAATTTGGCGCGGCTTCGAACTTAATGTGCACCAAAGGTATGTTGCGAAGTGAAATGGCTGTGGAAGGTCAATTTCCACCAAAGTTTAGCTGCTGATCACCGCCGTAGATGTTTCCGTACCTATGGACCCGTCTCATTTCATCATCAAGATCAGCAGGCAGTTGGCAACGTCCGAGCCTCAACTAACCTTCGACTTTTTGACCGAGTTCTTTGTCGGATGGGAGACCTTCACTGACGAGCAGAAGCCGCTCAGCCTGGCATACATGGCTCCATGGCTGCCCGGCTTACGCACTGGAGTTTTAGCGAATGAATCCGATGCCGAAAAGGGAAAGGAGAAGATTGCAGCATTGTTCCGCAAACTTATAGATGTGGCCATGTCAGACCACGGGCTTACGTATACGCTTGAGCAAGTCGTCTGGCCCGCAATTTACCAGGACGAAACAATACTCGACATTTTTCTCGAGGAGCTCATGAGAGCAGCTTTAAGCTTTGGATTCTCCGAGGAGCCCATGGAAGCCCTGTCGTCAATCGTCTCCGGTATGGGCAGCATTACTCTGCGTGGCAAGGTGATATCCCGGCTACGCAAGGCGTTGAATCGGTCTTCCCTCAGACCCACGAAGTACTTGCCTGACAACACAGTGTGGGCCGAGATATGCGTGTTGCTTCATTTCTGTCTGTCATTGTCGTTCGATAATGGCGTGCAGTCTCAGCTATATCTGCCAGAGATATTTCACATCGTCACAATCTTGGCCAACACTGGTGCTCCGGAGGTCCGTTTGCTAGTACATAGGCTGCTTGTCAACACTGTACATGCGGCTTGCACTTCATTCAACCTGGACGAAACTCGCTTCAACAAGCTCAGGGGTAGCTTAGACTACCTTAGCGAGCCCAGGAGCGAGATATTCTCAACACCTCCCCCATTCTTACGCGATGGAGCCTCCATGTCGACTACGCAGGATGCTGGGCCTTCACTGGCCGCCACTGAGAACCTAGCGGCGGTCTTGTTTGAGGTCTGCTCGGTAGCAGCGCCATCTGTTGACATCTCCAACGCCTGGAGATCACGCTGGATGAGTCTGGTGGCCAGCACTGCATTCCAGAATAACCCAGCTATTCAGCCCCGTGCTTTTGCTGTCATGGGCTGTTTGGCACGAGAGGAAGTGGATGACGACTTACTTTACCAAGTGCTGGTCGCTCTACGGAATAGTGTCGGTCGCTTAGGAGACGACACCAATAGTGATATGCTCATTTCCATTGTGACCTCTCTGTCCAAGATGATGGCAAAGCTCCCTTCGGCATCTCGCTATGGTTTGCAACTCTTCTGGCTAGCCATTTCCCTCCTACGGCTTGTACCTCCGGCCCTATTCAACTGCACAGCGCAATTCTTGGAGGCCGTCATGACTAACATCAGCACTGTGGGTGACCTCAGAGGTGACAAGATGGGCCCTCTTTTGCTACAGGGCCGCGTCCAGCTCGAAGAAGCGGCTTTGCCTCTGGATGACGCGTACGGTATTCACTTCACGCCGGAGAACTTCCATTTCGCAGTCTGCGCCTGTCTCGCTCGTGGTCTTGCGGACACTACCACCAAAACGAATGCCATGCGAGTACTTTCGGCCTTCCTAGACATGGCCGGCAATCCTATCGGTGACGCTGGGGTCCCACCTGATGACTTGTCTCGGTCGCCTTACATGGCTCTCATCCTTGCACGAACAGTCGAGAGCGATGAGCTCAGAGACAGCTTATGGCTTGCGGGAATTGACCCTTCACTTTTACGAGATGTCACTGGCCAGCAAAGATATGATGATCTCGGCGGCATGAAGGATAAAGACCTCCTCCTAAATACTGCCATCGAGTTGATTGACTTTCAATACTTGGAAGATGCACTGCAAAATCGGACATTGCAGTGGCTGACGGAACTAGCAGCAGCCAGGCCGTCTGTGATTATGCATCTGTAAGCTTTTCTCTATATCTTCTCATCTAGGCGGACTGTTTGACTGATTGAACAACAGCTGTGGGCCTATTGTCTCTATCCTGGACGATGTGCTCTTGCATTGCCAGAATTCATCGACTTTGGAGTCTGCGCAGGACTTGCTACATTCACTCACATCAAATCCAAAGTTCAGCACAGCCCTGGAGTCCACGGCCGTCTTGAATGAGATCCTCGAGGATATGGGTTTTAGCGGGTTGTGGCGCTCGTGCTCGTTCAATTTTAGCCAGGATCAAGATAGAAAATGCTTCCTTCTGACCGAGAAGCTGATCGAGGTAAGTTACCATTTACACGATGTCTAGGGAAAGGTGCTAATAGACCTAGCTTATTATCGTTTAGCTAGCAGTAGTGACTTTGAGAGACAGAATAATGAATTTATATTATATAAAAAATTAAAGCTTGAGAATATATAAAATAAAGGTATTTATAAGAGTAGAAATGACGTACTTTATTAACTAAAGATATATATTAATTAATAACCCCGTTAATAAAGGTATCGACTAATATATATAAGATATTATATTTATCTATAACGTTCGTGGTCTTGCCTAACCGAATACCGGACCTTTAAAAGATATTACGCTATTTTACTAGTATACCTTTATAAGCTATAATAATTAAAGTATTAAATAAGCTAAAGAATTAATTAAGCCCGAGAGGGAGAGATATACTTAGTATTACGACCTAACATATATAATTAACCCAGAGGCCAGCTACCAGGCCACGGTAATTATAATATACTATATATATATATAAAATAAGGATACGGTTACCCTTTATAGAACGGAAGAACTATAGAATAAGTTACTATTGCGATTTCTTGTAGATGTTAGGGAGATTTCACCGTGATTTCTCTGCTACTATGGTGAAAGACCTTACGGTAAGCCCCGCGAGAATTTACTAGGAATTCTTGGCGAAAGGCTATTAAATATTACGGAGATTTCCCCGGGATTTCCCTATGAATTTTTAAGGTATTTTTTAGAGATTTTACTATAAAGGTATAGTGAAATCTTAAAGGAGATATTTTAATATTATTATTATTTTACTATATATAAAGCGTAATAATTAGTAATATAACCTCTTTTTTAACGAACTAAGTAGTTATTTATTTATAGAAGAGACGAGCTAAATAAATATTAATTTTTTTTATATTAACGGGCTAGTTAAATAAGCGTTAATTTTATTATAGGAATAGACGAGCTAAATAAGCGTCGACCTTATTTATAATAAAATTATAATAAATAAATACCGATAACGACGTTAATTTGTTTTAGGATTTTAGGGATATTTTAATCTTAAAGAACTAGGACCGAGCTATTACGACCTAATATATATAACGAGGCCAGGATCTTGCCCTATAAGGCCTATAGTAGCTATTATACCATATATATAAAAGAATAAATTTAGGATAATATCTTTTAAGTTAGAAAAACTATAAATAAATTATATAATAATAAAAAAGACCGATAAATAATAAACGGTCTATAAATAGGACCGATAAAATAAAAATAATCTACCCTTATAGGACCGATATTATAATATCGATCTTAATTATAAAGGAATTATTTAGATAATATATAAGACTTATATATAAGATAGATTTAAACTGGGCTTAAAGATAGATTTTCTATAACTTCTTTAATTATTAACTTTATGTTAGATTTTATAATTATTTTTAACTATTTTTATGAAGAACCTTTTAATAAAATTATTATTAATTATTAAAGCTTTACCTTATGGCTTATATAATATAATTTCCCCTAAAGTTATTTAATGACTTTATTTATTATTATTCGGTCTTTATAGCCTAAATTTTTATAAACTTACTTTATTATAATTAACTAGCCGTAATATTTTAATAGCTCTTATTTAATAAAAAAAAATTTAAATTAACTAATAATAAAAGAACAATATCTTTTTTTCATAATACGCCCCCTACTACCTCTTCTTTTAAAAAAAAAGTAGCTAAAGAACCTAGTTTAAGAACTAATTATTATTAAAGATAATAAAATACCTGACGTCACTTATAACTCGGATAGGGACGTAATACTTAATAAAAATACCTATTTTTAAATAAAATATACCGTTAATAAGAGTACTAAACGTAATAAAAAACTAATTAAGCTCTTTAATAATAATACTACTTACCTAGCTACTATATATACGATCTATACTAAATAAAATAATAACTATTTTAAAATTTAAAACTAATAAATCTAATAACCTAGCTTAAAAAATTTAAACCATTAAAGCCGCTATTAATATTATTAAAACCCCTATAAATAATTTAAAAAAACTTAAACTTAACGCTCCGATTACTTTTAATAAAACTATAGAAAAATTTAAAGGATTTTTAATCTAGATTAGGACCTATTAAACCTTTTATATTATAAACTTTTAAAATAAAGCTAAATATATTATATATATATAACTACCTTTTTATAAGGACGAGCCCTTAAATAGTTCGAACTTTATTAAAAAAACTTCTTTAATAATAACGGTTATTTCGAGAATTATAAAACTAAAATTATTACTATTTTCGGTAATATAATAAGCTTTTAAGCTACCCTTAAATTATTATTTTAAAACCTAGATAAAAAATAATAAATAGAGCGTAATTTAACTAACCTTTAATAAACTAAGTCCGCCTCTTATTATATAATTAAATTTAAAAGATTTTTAATATACTTTAACTTAACTAAAAAAAACTTATATCTTTACCTTTTATTCTAAATTAAAAGATAAAATTAAGGATAAATTAATTAAAATAAATTAACTTATTAAATTCTTATTTTATATAAAATAAGTTATTTAAATTAATATCTAACTTTATAAATAATATAAAGAAGAAAAAAACGGTTAACGACCTTAAATTAATTTAAAAAGATACTATTAAACGAACTTTTTAAAATAAAAAGAACGTCTTAAAAATAATAATTATTAATAAAAACGATAATTAATATCTTATAAATAATATAATAGTCCTATAAACCTTAATATTATTATTAAAGGACCCCCTATAAAGGACTTTAAGTATTATAATTACGATAAATTAGGATATATAGCCTAAAACTATAGATAGCTTAAAAGGCTCTAAAAAAAAGCCAAAACTATTAATATAATTATTAAAGGTACCCTTAAAATAAATACTAAAATACCTTATAAATAACTCTTATAGACTAAATACTTTAACGACGACTACCTTATTTATTAAAAAAGTAAAGAATTAATTAACTAATACTTAAAAAAACCTAAAATACTTATTATAATAAGAATCTAAAACGATAAAAAAAACATTAAAACTCTAATTATAATATAATAAGCCCCTAATATTAAACTCCTTTATAAGATTAATAAATATTTAAAAGATATTATTAAGAACGGTAATATCGTCCTATTATTATCGAATATTCGACTATCTATAAAGAATAGTAAGATAGACTTTAAATAATTTAATAAAATTATAATAATATTTAAAAAAAAAAAAAATCGTCCTATAACTCGGACTAACCTCGTAATATTATATAACGATATATTTAGGTAAAATTTATTAATAAAGATACTTTTAAGAAAAATAACTTTAATCTTAAAAAAAACTAAGTTATAAAACGACCTAAATAAAAAGAAATCTACCTACTATAAAATAATTAATTCGTCCTTTTTAGAAAAACAAATAACTATATTAAAAATATAAAGACATTATTAATAATTTAAAATAACCTTAAATTAACTCTAACCTATATATAATATAACGATATCTTTTAAATAGAATACCTAATTAATAACTACTACTACTATTTCTATTAAAAAAATGATAATTAATATTACCTACGACGGTTTACTAATAAACTAATTCTTAAAGCCTATTTAAAAATAGACCTATCTTTTTAAACTATAGATATAAAAAATAATAATATTATTATTTTCTCTTTAGACCTATATTACCCTATAAAATACCTTAACGATATTAAAAAGGACTAAAATATATACTAATATAATAAATATAGAATCTATTTTATACCTAAGTTATGAAAATAATAACTCCTATAAAAGAAGATTTAGGAAGAATAACTAGGAACTAGCTCGTTCTAAAGAAACTTAAATAATCTTATTATTAGCCTATAGGACTATCTATATAATCGATATATTTTAAACACTTAAATTAATATTAAGGTATTTAAAAATCATAAATCATTTTTAAAAAAAAGAAACCCTACTTAAAAAGAAAGAAACGATATTTAAGATATTATTAATACCCTATATTCTATTATAAAAGGATAAAGGTAAAGGGATTTAAAAAAAAAAAACTATAAATGATTTATTTAAAAAGAACGAGTACCGGCTCTTAAATAACTAAAAAATTAAAAACGCTAATTAAATAAGGGTAATAAAAAGCAAAATAGAGAATTAAGTCCTTTATAATAATTAATATAAATAATTCTAATTACTATATATTAAATATTTATATCTAAGGATATAAGATACATACCATAATCGATAGCAATATTTAAACGAACTATATATTACTTTAAATAATAAAGAGATTTAAAATTAGATAAAAAATAAAGAGATTACTATACCTTTTCTATATGTTTAAAGATAAACCGATCTAAGATAGTAACGGATATATATTCTAAAAGACTATGCTTTTTTAAACAAATATTAATAATTAAATAAAATAAATTATCTATAACGTTACGAAAATAAAAATAAATTAAGATATAATTCTAAAAATATAATCTATAGATAAATTAGAATACAGGCCACCTCTAATAAATAGACCTAATTACTAAATAACCTAAAGAAAAAAGAGTTTAAATAAGTCTTATATAACACTTAATAAATAAATAAAAACCTAAATACCTTACTTATATTAAAAAAATAGAGCCGATTAGGATAATCGCGTTTAGTATAAATAATTAAAGATTAAATTTACTTTAAACTATATCTAAAAAGTACCGGAAATATATAAAACTATTTATTTTAAAAAAAAGAATCTATAGGACTTCTAGAATATAGTAATTAAAATATAAAAATTGAATTTAAAAAAGGGATATAGCCTAAATTCTACTTATTATACCTAATAAATAAATTAAAATAAGAAACATTTAATAAATATATTAATAAAAAACTAAAAAAGGCTATATTAGACCTTCCTCATTTCCCGCCGGTATATTACTTTTTTTCGTCCTTAAAAAAAATAAAAAATTGAGACCTATAATTAATTATAAAGAACTTAATTTAATTATTAAAAGAAACTATTACTTTTTACCCCTTATTATTAAACTTAAAAATCTATTAT